AACATCAAGACTTACCGTGTTTAAGAAGTCTTTCTCGAATTCTTTCTGAGTTGTGATGCCTTCGACTCCGATAAGCTTCATGTACGGAAAGAGTTCTGAGCTACATGTTAGCTGGGTCATCCTGCTGCTACTGGAGAATTGTGAATCACCTATTCCACGGTTGATGAGCGGCGTTCCGCTCAAAATCCAGAAGTGCTTTGCCTTGAGTTGATGAGCAGCTAGGGTTGCTGAAGCCTTGTGAGAATATGTTCCGAAAAAATCCACAAATGCTCAACTTACTCCGAGCCTCAAGATTCTTGATTTGATGGCCTTCGTCCAAAATGACACGATACCATTTGATGCGAAATAACTCGCCAACCAATGTCTGAAACTCATTGCTATACGCAGCGGGATCTTCTGAGTGCTTCAGTCTCAACTCATCAAGTTTCTCTCCTTTGGGGAACTCAGCGAGAAGCTCATTGTATGTGGTAAGCCTGGGATAAAGTTATTAAGCAAGGATGCAATGAGTGTAGATCACTGAAAGTATTTGACTTACACGATCGTGAAAGTCGCAATTCTGCCCACGCTGAGGGTGTTGGACCTTCTTCGGAAGTAATAGACATCATCAGGGGGAACGTTATCGAGATGGTTCTGAATCTCTTCGCCCCATTGCTCAGCGACGGTCTGATTGGGAAGGATGATCAGAGTGGCGCCACTCCATTCCCGCCTATCCTCGTCGTCGGGAGGATTGCCGGTGACGCAAGCAAGAGACACAACTGTCTTTCCCATGCCAGGAGCGTCTGCGAGAACACCGCCATACGGATGCGTTTCTGCGTTTTCACGCTTCACCATCCACACGACGGCGGTCAGCTGGCAGTCTCGAAGATTCGATTTCATACCGCGGAGGTGGTAATCTGTCTCACCGACAGCTGTCACCATACCACGACCCAAAAAGCGCAATGCTTCTTTCAGGTCCCTCTTTTGAGTCGCGCTATGGCGATTGTCGTTACCATGGGTCTCAGCCTGGGCAAGTTGCTTCAAGCGCGATGCCACGGTGACTCTGCTCTGGGACGAAGCAGGGATCGCACCATCGCTAGCAGCATTGGCCACACTGCTAATATCGTGGAACATCTGGGCGGTTTTCTGAATTGCGGCACTGTTATCCAAGTTGTTGTGCGGTCGGACAGCACCATTGGACTTGCGTGCACACGTACGCCTCTTCGCTTTGGGTGGCTTGACGTCCGCCTCATCTTCTCCCATTGCTCTCTTCTTAGTAATCTCCTTTCGAAAATGCTCTTTGAGATTCTGATGCTTCTTCTGGTGGTCTCGTGCAATATATTGCTTGGCGGTTTTAGCCACAGGGCCTCGAGGGAGTCTGGGCTTGCTCAACTTCTCAGCTGCATTGCAAGATGCATCATTACGGCCGCTGTCTTCACCCAAGACTAAGGTGGGTGCATCCCCCAAGTCATCATCGGTGTCGGTGTCGGTGTCGGTTTGGGGATCGTAGTCCGAGGCATTCTCGACGCTTTTGTCTTGCCTACCGACATAGCGGCGAAGACCGTCGTTTCTTTGGTGTGAGTTCGTAGAAATGTGACTCACTCTGCCCTCATCATGAAGAGTTGTCATGGATTCGACCTGGGGAGGATGGTCTTCACTCACAAATAGTTCGGAATCGATGTCGCCAAACGAGTCAGGAAAATTTTGGGTAGGGGTGTTTCGCAGCATATCCAATTGCAATTGATCATCAACTGCGTCAATCTCCATCTCGTCTCTCGGCATCTGCAATGTCATTTCTGAGCCATCACTCAATTGACTTGGATGTAGGCCTTGCTCGGAGCCGGAGTGTTGGTCCATGATACTTCGATGAAGTAGGGAAAGTCTATGAAACTTGAAGTCATATGTTGAAAGATGAATGATCAAAGTTCATTCAATGCAAGTGAAATTGTTGGAAATATGAAAGCTGATTTGAGTATTTGAACCTTTGAAGGAAAAGTAAAAAGGATTAGGTAGGAAAGTCAATTGGGGTGACGTTGTATGGAGAGGAAGAGATGGATTGATGAGGGAGTGAGAGAGAAGTGAGCTTTATATAGGCCTCGAGAGAGATTCTGGAGGAAAGAGAAGCAGGCCAGGCTTTCTCTAGAAATGACTCTCTACGGCAGGAGCAGTCCGATGTGGTAGTTACGCGAGAAAGGGTCAACGACGTTGGCAGGAATGTGGAGAATTTGATTCCGAGGCAAAAAGATATATGAGTGCTGACCGTAGTGTACGCGACACCCAGAGCCAACGAAGGGTGGGAATAACCTCATTAAGAGACGTCGGTGTCTCGGTGAGGGAAAGAGTCTCGGTGAGCCTCACCGGAGCTCTCTCACCGCCCTAGTGGCAGAACAGAGGCTCCACTAAATTTTCATCGACCCCACGCCCGGATGGCTCTTCTCCAAGCACTTGCGACAGCAAATTTACGCCTTTTTCACCACTGCCAATTCAACACCGCCGCCATGTCTTCAAAATCTGGCAAAAATGGCAAGGTCGCCGACTCTCGTTTCTCAAACTTCGAAACCGATCCTCGGTTCCGAATGCCCTCGAAGAAGCACACCAAAACCAAGATCGACAAACGTTTCGCACATGCACTAAAGGACGAATCCTTCACATCCGGCCCAAAAGTTGACCGATACGGCCGCAAAGTCAAGTCCGACAACAAGAAGAATGCGCTGAAGAACTTATACGAGGCGGAGGACGACGAAGAAGACTCAGACGAGGGCGAGGACATCGAGGTCGAGGCCGACGATGTTGTCCAGCGCGAGCTGGCAAAGGCGGATGCCAAGTACGACCCTGCTCGCGGCGGCGGCTTCTCCGAGTCCGAGTCAGAGTCCGAATCTGAAGATGACGAGTCTGACGAGGAAGAAGCGGCTGTCGCTGACCCCAAGGCTTCCGTGTCGCGCCTGCGCGACGAAGAGGCCCAGGTCGAGGAGGGTGAAGTCACGAACCGGATAGCGATCGTCAACCTGGACTGGGACAACATCAAGTCGGCCGATCTGTTTGCTCTTTTCCACAGCTTCCTGCCTTCAACTGGCGGGCGCATTGAAAAGGTTGCGGTCTATCCTAGCGAATTCGGCAAGGAGCGCATGCAGCGCGAGGAGCTGGAAGGACCCCCTAAGGACATTTTCAAGAAGGATGACTCTGAAGAGGAGAGCGAGGACAGCGAGGAGGAAGACGAGGCGATCAAGAAGGAGCTGTTGGAGGAGGGCGACGCCGACGACTTCGACCACGACGCGCTGCGCAAGTACCAGCTGGATCGGCTGCGGTACTTCTACGCTGTCATGACCGTCTCTGACAAGGCGACAGCGCAGAAGCTCTACGAGGCGACCGACGGCACAGAATACGCGTCTTCATCAAACTTCCTCGACCTGCGATTCGTACCGGACGATACTACATTCGACGACGAGCCTAGAGACGAGTGCGACAAGTTGCCGGAGGGATACAAGCCTGTCGAATTCACTACGGACGCTTTGCAGCACTCCAAGGTCAAGCTCACCTGGGACGTCAACCCCGACGACGCCGCCCGCAAGGCTTCCATCAACCGCGCCTTCACCGGAAGTCGTTCGCAGATTGAGGAGAACGACCTGAAGGCCTACCTGGCCAGCGACAGCGAAGACTCCGGCGAGGAGTTTGCGGGATTCGACGATGAGGAAGAGGCCGAGGATGAGGAGGAAGCGGCCGAGAAGCCCAAGCTTTCCAAGAAGGAGCTCGCCCGTCAGAAGATGCGAGAGGCTCTTGGCCTTGGCGCCGAGGAGGAGAAGAAGTCATCCAAGAACGCCCCCGTTGGCGAGATGGAGATTACATTCACGCCCGCTTTGACGGAGAGCAAGAAGAACAAGAAGCCCGAGGAGGAGGAGACGACGATCGAAAAGTACCAGCGTAAGGAACGCGAGCGCAAGGAGGCCAAGCGTATTGCCGCCCGCGCCAGACGCGAGGGCAAGACCGGCGCCCCCGTCGCCGAGGAGGCCGAGGAGGTCGAGGTCGCGGACGACAGCGCGGAGGACCTCGGCTTCGACGACCCCTTCTTCACGACCGACGAGCCGGTCAAGACCAAGACTTCCGTCCGCAAGGAGGAGCGTCTCGCGAAGCGCGCGGCGCGCGAGGCCGAGGAGAAGGAGAAGGCGGAGCACAAGAAGCAGCTGGAGCTCCTGATGGCAGACGACAACGTGGATGGGGCGGAGCACCTGGACCACTTTGACATGAATGAGATTATGAAGGCGGAGAAAGCCAAGAAGAAGAAGGGCAAGGCCGCGAAGCGGTTGGCCAAGAAGGCGGCTGCCGACGGCGAGAAGCTCGGTCTGCAGGAGGACTTCAAGATGGATGTCGGCGACGATCGTTTCAAGGCCGTCTTTGATAGCCACGAGTTCGCTATTGATCCCAGCAACCCCAAGTTCAAGGGCACGGAGGCGATGCAGAAGTTGTTGGAGGAGGGTCGCAAGAAGAGAAAGGCTGGCGGGGACGTGGAGGATGTGCCTGTGGAGAGGGAGGGCAAGAAGGCGAAGAAGGTCAAGAAGGTTGGCGGCGGCGACGATGATGAGGAGTTGAGCAGGCTTGTTGCGTCGGTGAAGAAGAAGGCGGCGAGCAAGGCTGGCAAGAGATGATTGCGGGTCATTTCTTTGTTCTCGCGCATTGGTGTTTGATTCGAGGCGTGTTTGTGGTCATACCCTAGAATAGAGGTCATACAAAAGTTATTGCAATGTACAAAGCACATGTTCATAATAATGGGTATCAAGGATTAAGCGACAAGGCAGTTGAGTTCTTGATTTTGTGACGCTGATTTATGAGTTGCTTCCTTGGGTATCTCATGCTCGTGGAAAGAACCACCCAATGAATGCCCCTTGGAACCGCACTTTCCATTCTTCAAAAATGTTCGGCCTGGGATTGTCTCGCTGATGACTCTGCCCTTATCCTCGTTGGGCACCATGCTTCTGAGTTCGCTGTCCCATTTCGCTGTTCTCCTCATGATATCTTCGTACACTCGTAGCTCAAGAGCCAAAGAAGGCGCGGACGGCAAATTTGATAAGGTGAGGCGTGCCGATCCTTGCAGAGACGAGGAAATTATCAAGTGTAGGTTTCGGGCGAGCTCGTGTGGCAACAGATGTCCCCGTCCGACCTTGGGCATCGCCGTCGTCGTTGGACATGGGAAGGCCGGTGTAGGGATCCCACTCCATGTCTTCTTCGTAGATGGAGCCGAGCATGCTTGCGATCCAGACGAGATTGGCGAGTATGAGAGTGAGAAGGACGCCTCTCAGGGTAGCTTCGTTGTGTGAATAGGTGGGAGGCATAGTCTATTCTGGGTGTGGTTATGGAGGCTGAATTATATCCCGGTGAAAGTCGAATGTTGAGTTTGAAGAGGGGAAGAATTGAGATGTGACCAAGAACGTCAAGGCAGGAGCGGGAAGGAGCCAGAAAAAGGAGAGGTCTCATGATGTAGCCTGTGACGAATACCTCAGTTCTTTATGTAGTCAGCCGGCACATTCTACTGGAAGGGAAGGGCCGGGATCATAGTATTTAGGCAGCGTCACATGGCAAAAGGCGTGGGCGGACAGGCTGCATAGATGCTGGGAGAACAACGTAGGTGCAATAACATAGGTGCATCATGGAATCTTGTTCTATTTTAGATGATTCAGCAGAACATGGCTGCGAGGACTTTTGTTTATCATGACTTGAACAACAATGAAAGAATCTTTACCGCACCACGGCATCCTTCAAGCTGGGAACAGTGCAAAGACCGCCAGACTTGGTCTTGAGCTTGCCAAGACCCTGCTTTCCAAGCGCTTCAACGACACCAGCATCAAAGGCAACGGCCAAGTCGTCGGTGGTGGTGAAGCCGGGCTGGAAGGTCTCCCAGATCTTCTTCTTGGGGTTCAGGACACCCTCGGGTTCACCTTCCCAGCCCTCAAAGTTGATACGCTCACCTGCCTTGGCATCAGCGGGGGGAGTGACGAGCTCGACGGGTCCCTTGTGATCGTCGACCTCGCCTTCCTTAAGTTTGGGAGAAGCGGCAAGAACCATAGCGCACGACTTGATGCCGCGCATCTTGACGGGCTTCAAGTTGCAGACGACGACGACCTTGCGGCCTTGCATAGACTCGAGGGGCACGAGGCCGTTGAGGCCAGAGCAGACGGTGCGGCAAACCTGGCCCTCGTACTCGGTGGTGTCATCGTTGGGCTCGTCGCCGACGGCAATGGTGGAGACGTAGAGGGAGTCGGCCTCGGGGTGCTTGATGGCCTTGAGGATGTGGCCGACACGGAGGTCGATGAGGGCAGGGGAGAGAGGGGCGGCAGCAGGAGCAGCCTTCTGGGGCTTGGGAGCCTTGGCCTTCTTCTCCTTCTTGGGCTGGCCCTCACCGGCACCGACAGCGGCCTTGACCTTGTCCTTGGCCTCGGCGACAACCTCCTTGACCTTCTCGCCAGCGCTCTTATCCTTCTTGGGCTCCTTGGTGCGGTCGGGCAGGGCCTTGTCACCAGCAGCAGCACCACCGGCGGCGGCGGCAGCGGCCTTCTCCTTCTTGAGACGCTCCTTCTCGGCCTTGGCATCGACGGGGGGCTTCACGTAGAGGACCTCGTCGAGGTCAACCTTGACCTTGTCATCGGCCTTGACGTCGGCGGCGAAGGCGGGGAAGTTCTGGACGAAGTCGAGGTGGCGGACGATGTTGGGATAGCCCTTCTCGCCGGTGCGCTGCTCGGGGGACCAGGAGGCGACGAGAGGACGGACGGCGGAGTAGAGAGCGGTGTCGGCCTTGCTGGGCTTGGTGCCGAGAAGAGTGGTGCGGGTGCTCAAGTGGGAGTTGAGGGTATCGAGGATAGGGGAGGCCTCGTCGGGCTTAGACTGTTGGAGACGAGTGGCAGTGGTGAGCCATTGCTGGATCTCGGTCTCCTCGTTGGGAGTGTAGGTGGTGTTGGAGGCCATTCTTGTGAATCGGAACGGGGAGATGCTGCGTGAGCTGGGTCGGATAGCGCGTAGTGAAGAAAGCATGAGGTGTGAGTCTGAGGTGGAATTTTTACCTGTGTGGCTCTGCGGGGTAGGTGGCAGCAACGGTGTGGTGGGAGGATTGCCCCTCCACGCCGTTCACCTCGATTGGATGCCTCAGGCTGAAAATCTCGGTGACCGGTGAAGGCTGACCGGGACGACTGTTCGGTGTGCGAAGGTGAGCGTTCCCTGGAGACTGTTTGATCACCTGCATTCAAGGTATTTCAAATGATGCAGATAACTGTCCGTCAAGAGAATACTGCTCATCCTATTCCGTCATTACACTCTTGTCCTTGGCCTGTTTCTATTTCACTCCCCTGGCTGCAATATGCAATTGTTCGTTGAGATTTGGGCCTAGTCGAACTCACCGCAACTCATCACACAGCCTTTATTTCCTTCGCGTGGCATTATTTTATGCGAAAAGAGAAATATGCAAGACAAGGGTCTAAATTGCATCGCTGGGACCCCGATCTCCTTCCGATCCCCGAACCGACTTCATGACGACGGTTGCCTGAAAGAAAAACGAGAGAAAAAGGAAAGAAGAGCCGGGGCTTTAATTGAAAGCGACACGACATCACGTGCTAGCGCCTTCTCTTCGCGTCGCGCCCCTGCCATTTCCCCTGTCGCCCCGCGATCGCGCGCCCTTTGGCAGCTGAAGCCCGCTCGTTCCTGCTTCCTATTTTCCCCTTGCCACCACACCCTCACGCAATTATCTCAGGAACCTCACTATTTTTATACTGGAAGGAAATCTCACCTCAGATTACACAGCATTACATCGCCACCTTTCTTTTCTAGCATCTTTTTCTGCCTCAATCTCAATATTTCGATGTTTTTGAGCCTTGGAGGCACAGACCTTCACTGCCAAATTTAGCGTCTCCCCTTGCATCATCGATTTGGATCGCTTTTTTCTCTCCCGAATTCCATCACCACTGACGGAGTATTCCCACTCACTCACAAAGTCGAGGACGAAATCGAGGCCCTTGAGGAGTTATCAACTTCTAGAAAAATCACGACTTCATAATTTTGCTACTGTCTCCCGGATCTGGTCTGAGCTGCGATCGATATGAGCTCATCAACGTCGGACGTGGAGTCCGTCATGTCCGCTAACCAGCGGCTTGACACCAGTGCACCTTCCTCACCACCACGGGATGAGAGTTTTGAGCCCATGGATTCTGAGTTCGCTCTAATCATGAAGGAAGAGGCAAGGGCCAAAGCAGACAACAACAAGAAAGACAAAGCAGCACAAAAGTCCCAGAATCTCAAGAACCGCAGGAAGCGCAAGAATGAGCTCTCTAAAGAGGAGAAGCTCAAGTTGGCCAAGGAGCTGGATGAGCTGCTCAAGAAGTCTCAGGCGTTCAGCAAGATGCTCATGGAAAAGACTCAAGCAATGGGTCGGGTTGGCACAAGCTTGGAGGGCGAAGCCTTGGGTGACCACAGCCTGTCCCTCACTGCTCAACCCAAAATCATGAAGGGTGGCACCATGAGAGATTACCAGTTGGAAGGACTTACTTGGATGCGGGAAGTGTGCCTTCAGGGCTTATCTGGTATTCTCGCTGATGAGATGGGTCTTGGTAAGTCTTTCTGCCTCATCATTTGCACAACTTACACTCTTCTTCCTTTCGTGTACGAGAATACTTCAGAGAGTCGAATACTAACTATATTCAGGCAAGACGGTTCAGACCATCTCGTTGATTGCCAATTTGAGAGAGGAAAACTACCTTGGCCCTCATCTCATCGTTGCACCATTGAGTACCCTTTCGAACTGGATGGACGAGTTTGAGAAGTGGTGTCCTTCCCTTCCTGTCGTTCTCTTTCATGGAGACGCTCAGAAGCGCGCGGAAATCAAGAGGAAACACTTGACACCAAATATGAAGAACGGCAACCCCACCAAGAAGTTCCCTGTGGTGTGCACATCTTACGAGATGGTCCTAAGAGAAAGGGCTACTTTGAGCAAGTTCAATTGGGCTTTCATCATCATTGTAAGTATTATTGCCTGACACCCTGGTCATCAAACCCGCTTTCTCACATTCCTTAGGACGAAGGCCACCGCATGAAGAATTTCGAGTCCAAGCTGTTCCAAGAGCTGGAGACTTTTGCATCAGCTACTCGTATGCTCATCACAGGAACACCCCTGCAGAACAACCTGAAAGAGCTTTGGGCTCTTCTTCATTTCCTACTGCCTATGATCTTCAAGAGCTACGAGGCTTTTGAGGCATGGTTTGACTTTGACGACCTCCAGGACGAAGAGGGCGCGCAGGAGTTCATTGCCGATCGCGAGAATCAGGAGCTCATCAAGAAGATTCACGTCATCCTCCAGCCGCTCCTTCTTCGTCGCGTCAAGGCCGACGTCGCCGCGCATCTTCCCAAGAAGCGCGAATACGTCCTCTTTGCGCCAATGACAAAAGAGCAAACCGATATGTACAATGCCATCAACGACAAGGATGTCGATACTCGCGCCTTCTTGGAGAAGATGGTCATCGACCGTCTCAGTGCTATCGCTCCTCCTGTCAAGAATGAGAAAATCTCTGCCAAGAAGCTCGAGATTCCGATCCGAAACAGTCCTCGAAAGACTAAGGGTGAGGCAGCTCCGGAGACTAAGAAACCCAATGCGTTCTCGGCAATGATGAACCGGGCTAGAAGCTCATCTTCCAAGCCCCAAGAAGCCACCAAAGCAACATCAAAAGCCTCATCGAAGGCATCCTCCCGGGCTGTCTCCAAGCGCAAGGAAGCACCCACTCTCGAAACACCACAGTCCAAGAGTGCCAAGTCATCGAGACAGTCGACACCTTCGACCACTACACGAGGCCGGGTCACCCGTGGCCGTCGACGCTATGTTGATTCCGATCCTGACGACGAGGACAAGCTCTCCGATGATGAGTTCGAGGCCAAGCTTGCTCGAGAGGCAGAGGAGGCCGACCAGAATGACGATGATTCTGCCCCCGCTCTTTCCCCTGAGGAACAACACCAGGTCAACATTCTCGAGCAGGCGAAGAAGGAGATGTCAACCAAGAAGCTTGGAAACCCCATCATGCAGCTTCGCCTTGTGTGCAACTCTCCGCACAACTTCTTCGATCCTTGGGGATACGAGGGTAGTCCTCCCGTTGACGAGAGCATTGTCACATCATCCGGCAAGATGTTGATGCTTGATCGTCTGCTTCCTGCCTTGTTCAGCAAGGGTCACAAGGTCTTGATCTTCTCCCAGTTCAAGACTCAACTTGATATTCTTCAAGACTACTGCGAGCTTCGGAAGTGGAAGGCCTGCCGATTGGACGGATCTGTCTCTCAGGAAAGTCGCCGCGACCAGATCAAGGAGTTCAACGAGAACCCCGAGTTCAAGATTTTCCTGCTTTCCACGCGCGCCGGTGGTCAGGGCATCAACCTAGCGAGTGCCGATACTGTGATTCTCTTCGATAGTGACTGGAACCCGCAGCAGGATCTCCAGGCGCAGGACCGCTGCCACCGAATCGGCCAGACTCGCCCCGTCATTGTCTACCGTCTCGCCACCAAGGGCACCGTTGAGGAGGAGCTTCTCATGAGCGCTGACGCCAAGCGTCGTCTCGAGAAGTTGATCATCAAGAAGGGATCCTTCAAGACGATGGGCCAGAAGATTGACCTGAAGGAAGACCTTGACGGCGAGACGCTCAAGTCTCTGCTGCTGAAGGATGGTCAGATTTTCAAGTACTCCGGTGACCACGAGGTCCTCAGTGACAAGGACCTCGATGTTCTATGCAACAGGTAAGTTTATCAGTGGCCTTTATCGAGATTTGAATATTTCTAACATGTTCTGCAGAAGCGACGAGGCCTACTCCAAGGCGGCCGAGGGCACCGCGAACGCCGACGGCTACAAGGTCATCGAGACTAGCTCCGACGGCATCACCATTGCCGGGCAATCGGCCGCTTAATGTTGTGCAGGCTACCATATCCCCTGTTTCGAACTTATACCGGCAAGATGGAGACTCAAGACAGAGACTCACCTGGCATGGCGTGTCCATTGCTGCCATACGCTTATGTCGATTGAACCCAACACCGCGGGGAATAGCATGATCCTGTGAAGGATTGTACAAAGAAGCTTCAGCAGATGATGCTGGATGATGGTAGCGAGAGACGAGGATGTTATTTACAGAGGCCAAAAGTAGGCCACGGATCAACTTTTTTGCTAGAATAGACGGCCATCCTTACATATCATGTATTCTGGACCGGATTTGCCTATTCTCTGGATGGCCACCGGTTCCCCCATTCTTGTACTTTTAGCGTTTGATACCCCAGGATTGGTCAGACGATTTGCTTAAGATAACTTGAAATAACACTAGTATTTTGTTCATTCTTCTGGGATCTCTGGCCTCGCGAAATGTGTGCACACCAGAAGCTACGAATGAAACGAGAAGCGCGAAGGAAGACAACGTTGCATAGTGTGAACAATGCTGCGGGCATACTCAGACTCTCACAAGTTCATATCCTCCCAAATAGTCTGCCTCACCACGAGGCCCTCAATCCAACGACCCACTTCGAAAATGAAGTCTCCGATATGCAACAGCACCTTCGCAGTGATGTGGACGACAAGACGCTGCAAGCACGGACGGAACGTGTCAACGATCATGGTGTAGAGCATACAGACCAAACTAGTACAAGCAAAGCCGGCGACCAGCTGAAGGAAGAACCACTCAGTGCGGAACAATTTGCGGTCGATCGCAGCCGCAGTCTCATCGGGGAGCTCTTCGAGCCAAACGTGTAGAGCAAGGAGGAATTTCTGGGTTGATTCACAGGGGTGTTGGGGCATGTAATCCGAGGCCGTCCATACGAGCCACGACGTCTTTGCGACAATCCACCGGAGGATGAGGAAGACAAGGTGGACGACGAGATGAACAGCCAGGCTCAGCAGCAGCGGCGCATGCAGCATGCCCACCACGAAGCCGTAGAGATGGGCGAGGTTGTCGAGGTACCTATTGTCAGCGAAAAGTACCCAGCATACGCTGATAGGGCCGAAGAGATTGGGGAGGAAGAAGAGGCTGTGGAGGTAGCCCTCGACGAGCCAGCGGTTAAAGATACCTATCTGCGAGAAGACCTGTTCGTTCTTCTTGATGTTTTGGAAATTGGTCTTGAGGGGCGTCATTACGATGACGGCGTTGAGAAGGAGGGTGAGGTAGATTGAGGCAGCGGCGAAGATGTGGTATGCGATGGAGAGGTCTGCGCGGTAGAAGACCTTTTCGAGGGGGGTGATGAAGAGGGTGAAGATTGCGGCGAGGAGGGTCGGGGGCCACATTGTGCGGATGGCTAGATAGAAGGAGCTTGTTGAGGCTGTCATGGTTATTTTACCTGACGTCTCGCTGAGAGATTATGGGTTGATCGGATGTGCCAGATGGTTTTGGATGTGGTACAGAGTCTGGTATTTGCGTACAGATGTGACGAGGTCGTTGGAGAGAGCAAGCTGCAGGGATGTGTGCCATTCGAATTGCAGATCGACCCATGTTTATGAAGTGTAACTTGACAAAGCATCCAGCTAGTAGCTTCATTCTTGAACCTCCTTGGTGTTCGACCATGGTATCAGCGCCAGCCAAACAAAGCATCATGGCCCAGGTTCTCTAAGGTGGCCGCTTTTCTGCCCTCGATCAAGAGATGTTTGTGTGCCTTACAATAGTCTGAAGGGCAACCCAGATTTCGGCAGTGCGTGAACAAAGCCTCATTCGGAGAATCTCTGTCGGAAGATACCCACAATTGACAACCCACCGAACCAATTGACGAGAAAGTTGGTCGAGGGAGATGTCACGGGAGTTTTGAGAATGGAGCGGCTGAAGCGGCCACACCACCAAACTTGCTACTTCAAGGTCTACTTGAGCCGCTGATTCCTTGACTAGTCTCAGTACGTTCAAATCTAATTCGATACCGAGAAAGTTGAAAGCTTCCGTTTGACTAAGTACGAGTCGTCGCCTTTGACACGGGGTCCTATTTCATGCCGTTGTGCGATCGAAGTCTGTGCATGATGCCAGTGACCAGACCAAGTTTCCGGAGTTTAGCTATCGATCTCAGGGATCGTGCAGCTACGAGTCTGGAGATCGTTGCTTCGACGCCAAGGACGAGAACTCAAGCGAGCAATTCTCCCGAGATAGCCATGGACTATATAAACGACCCTCACTCTTGATGGTGAAGAGGTCTTGTTCTGAAGTAATCTCAACACTCTCATCAGATCAAGTACCATACAAACTCGACAATTTTACCAGTAAAATAGCTTCGCCGAGGATCTCAGAATGGCACCTCCAGCAAGACTCCCCGCCCGCCGCCTTGGCGAGACCGGCCCCGAGATCACCGCCCTCGGCGTAGGATTGATGGGCCTCAGCGTGGCCTGCGGCAAGCCTGGGTTCGTGACCTCTGATCAGCCATTTGCAAAAGAGACGTCTCAAATTGATTCCAATGCTTCCACAGATCCGACGAAGAGCGTCTCGCATTCCTCGATCGCGCCTGGGAGCTCGGCGCCACGAACTGGGACACGGGCGACGCCTACGGCGACAACGAGGACCTCATTGGCAAGTGGTTCGCGCTGCACGCCGAGCGCCGCGCCGACATTTTCCTGGCGACCAAATTTGGCTTGCGCGGGGAGATCAGGAACGACGGGACCTTTAGCATCAGGATTGATAGCTCGCCCGAGTACTGCCGCGAGGCGTGCGAGCGCAGCTTGAAGAGATTGGGCATCGAGAGTATTGGCTTGTACTATATACACCGCCTGGATGAGACAACGCCTATTGAGAAGACGATTGAGGAGATGGTTAAGTTTGAAAAAGTAAGTGTGAGACTGGGCCGAGACTGATCGTCGCGTCCCTGGGTGATGCCCTTCACTTTCGGGTTGACCCAAGATTACTGACAACGTATGTGAAGCGAGGGTAAGGTCAAGGCCTTTGGCATCTCTGAGTGCTCCTCCACCACCCTCCGTCGCGCCTACGCCGTCCACCCCATCTCAGCCGTGCAGGTAGAATACAACCCCTGGTCCCTCGAGATCGAAGGCCCCGCCGGCACAGACCTCCTCAAGACATGCCGCGAACTCGGTGTCACGACCTTTGCCTACTCGCCGCTCGGCCGTGGCATCATGACAGGCCGCTACAAGTCGGTGGACGACTTTGAGGAGGGCCTTCCGCTGCCAGCTGCCGCGGTACACGGGCGACAATTTCAAAAAGAACACGCAGCTCGTGGAGGAGTTTGCTGCCGTCGGGCGCGAGAAGCACGGCTGCTCTGCAGGGCAGCTTACGCTTGCTTGGCTGCTTGCGCAGGGCGAGGATGTGGTGCCGATCCCGGGGACGAAGAAGATTCAGTACTTGGAGGAGAATATGGAGGCTTTGAAGGTTGTGTTGAGCAAGGAGGAGGAGAGGGAGCTGAGGGCTTTGGTTGATGCTAAGGATGTGCAGGGTGATCGAGGTGCGGCGTTTGGCAACTGTTCTGATTCGCCTGCTCTCTGAGGAATGAGGATGCCCCGGTGCCTTCGATGGAGGTGATGACGGAAGCGAAAGGTGATGATGGGGGCGGGGATGTCTCGGGAGTCGGCGTGGGTCCCCGGCCCCAGCGTCCGAGGCCCCGAAATCTGGGGAAGAGGGTTAAGGTCAGTGATCAAAAGTGAGATAAAGCAACCTTTCTCGCAGCCTCGTATAGCTAGATTGTAAAATATAGCATATAGCCGAATGGTTATGTTGAAACTCTCTCATATCATGAATGCTGCTAATATGCGAATGCAGATTCTGTGAGTTCCCCTCGGAGAAGAAGGCCGATGCCGGCTTGCGTTCGGAGATCGGAGTGGGTCACCGACACGCCGGTTGATAAGTAAAATGGTCGGCGTATGCGCGCTTGGGCCCGTCAATCAGTTGGTGTAGATGTTCGTCTAATCAGTTTGGTGATACAACTTAAGCCGATTGTTGCTCCATGAGATTGCTACTAGACCTCACCATAGGTCCTCTTGATACCGCACTTGAAGGAAGATCCAACTCTTCCGCAATCCCCTCATAACATCAGCCATGGCTACTATCTACAAGACGGGCGAGGATGCTCGACTAGCGTGCCGCTCCGGTACCTTCACCTCAACCACAGCCGGTCAAGCCCCGACGTATCTCCAAGCGAACCTCATCGTTCTTCCACGACGCTACGCCGATGACTTCCGTCTTCTCTGCCACCGCAACCCAGTACCTTGCCCCCTCCTAGCAGAGTCATCAAGTCCAGGAGACTTCGATAAGCTCAAGTCCTATGTCAGATCACCAGACGGCGAGAAGATCCTACCCGTGGCCACAAACATTGACCTACGCCACGACTCGCCACGATACCGTGTCTATGAGGATAGCAAGCACGTCCCAGTCAACGGCGTTTGGGAACCAGTAAACGTGGAAGACAAGTGGCTTGACGGTGACCACGTAGGCTTCTTGATAGGATGCTCTTTCAGCTTCGAGAGGGCTCTCAACGAGTCTGGACTCACGCCGCGACACATGACGCATGACCGCAACGTGCCCATGTATCGTACCAACATCCCACTCTGCGCGGCCGGTGTCTTCAAGGGGGCGACGTATGTAGTCTCCATGAGGCCGTACAAGGTGTCGGAGATTGAGAAAGTGAGAGATATCACCAGGCCTTTTGTGGCGACACATGGGGAGCCGATCGCGTGGGGATGGGATGGGGCGGAGAGGATCGGGGTAACGGATATCACGAAGCCTCACTGGGGCGATCCAGCGCTGCAGATGGACGGGAAAACTGTGTTCGGGCATGACGATGAGGAGTATGTGCCCGTCTTCTGGGGGTGCGGGGTCACGCCACAAGAGGCTGTGATGAGAGCCGATATCAAGGGTACGGTAATGGGGCATGCGCCTGGGCATATGGTCATCATGGATGTAAGAGAAGATGAAATCTTTCCCGTCTCATAGGTATGAGGTTGTATTAGCATAGGATCATGAGTCTTCTAGAAAACCCTTCATATTGATTTTCAAATGACATTTTTCCCTGAATGGATTGGTTTCGAAGACCTGCTCGAAGACCTACAACATCTATTCTAAGTCGTGAGGCCGGGCTGTGTTGTCAACTTGGACGAATTGACTCAGCCGAGAACCGTCAATCACATCTCATGACGCGCCAGGGACTCATAAGCAATCTAGTCAATTGAAGTAGACTTACTGAAGGCACCCAGACAGCCACTACGTCTGAGCGAACATCTGTTGTTTTCATTGTCATATGATGAAAGACCTTTGATCTCGCCTGACTTTTGCTTAGCAACAATGGCGCCCAAGTCCAGACAAACGCATGAAAGACACAAGACTCAAAGAACCTTGTGAGCAAGACAAGACAGGTCACCTGTCAAAGACTTAGAAAACATGAAAGCCGAAAGAATTGAAGTAATAGCACAATGGCCGACAAGACTGACCGAGAGTCTTGACTTTGGTATATGTATGACTTCGGTATTCTAGAGAAGATGCCGTATATTCGACTCACAAGAACCCATCACCAGCACATTCCATCCACCTAAATCAAACAACTCACCCAGACCTCGTTGCATCTTCAACCAAGTTTCCAATCAAATTTCCAACACCAGTTTCAACCTCCAATTGAATTCAATAGAATCTTCCTCCCCTTTCGCGTACAATCTCCATCCATTACTTACGCTTCGGCGCTGACGTACATTAGCACCCAACAAGATGCCCCCCAAGAAAGGCAAAGGCTCCGCCCCTCCGAAGTCCTGGGTCCCCCCTGCAGGATATACTCCTCGACAGACTCGTGGACAGACTCGGAATCAACAACAGCAGCCCAACCTCTGGCAAGGACTCACCGATAGAGGAGAGGCGTACGATGCTCAAGGCAACCATGTTTTAGTGCGCCCGGTGCGCCAGCGTCGAGGGGGACAGCAGACGGCGGCGCCTCCTGCTGCACCAACTGGTCCGCCGCCTCCGCCGCCTCCTCCTGGACCACCTGCTCCGCCGCCACCGCCGCCGCCGCCGCCGCCGCCGCCCCCTCCCATTGCTCCTGTCCTGCCACCAGTGCCTTCTCCCCATGATGCTGACTCTGGAGATGAATCTGATGACGGGGCCGGTGGTGAGCCTGGGACCAAACCTGATGATGGATCTGGCGGTGAATCTGGCGATGAACCTAACAACGAATCTGGTGAAGAACCTGAGGTTGAGTCAGGTGATGAATCTGAAGAAGAATCTCAGGCTGGATCTGGCGATGAATCTGGCGATGAACCTGAGGCTGGATCAGGCGACGAATCTGTCGAGGAACCTGAGTCGGAATCAGATAATGAATCTGGTGATGATACTGCAGGTCCTTCATCCGATCCCACGCCGCCAAAACGTCCTACGAGAACGCCCCTTCCGAATGGAAGACCAACAAAAATCAAGATCAGTTTAAAAGCAACAAAACCACAGACGTCACCAGTTACAGAGAGCCAAGACAGCAATGGTTCGGACTCTCCCGTTGGTCCATCTGCAGACGAATCCGACAGCGATCCCGAAGCGCCTGAAGAGAGCTCCGAGCCTGAAGAGAGCTCCGAGCCTGAAGAGCCCGAAGATGACGCCAGCCGTGACGACAATGAGGAGCAGACCGACAACTCTCAAAGAAGTGAAGGCAGTGACCCAGAGGGTCCACAGGATAGCGACCAAGGCACACCAGACGAAGCCACGCGGTCGAGAAGATCAACTCCCGGGTCGGTCGGAGGAGACTCTGAGCAAATGTCCACCCCCTCAAAGACACCTCAAGAGAGAAAGGAGTCGAAGAACGAGGACCCGATTCAAGTAGGCAGCGAAGAATCGGAGAGTAGCGAGGTTCCCCTTGAGCCACGGAGCGAAGACTCTCAACAAGACGATGAACCGCATCAACCCACTATCGTCCACTATGGCAGCGATGATGAAACAGAAATGTTAGTTCATGAGAGGCCTGACCCAGACCAGACCTTCAACAATGGAGATGATACTCTCAACTTGGAGGACTATCCAAGCTCGGTTGGCGGAGATCCCGACTGGAGAGGAGAGTATAATGGAAGCGAGGATGACGGCGACGACCGTTATGATACCCAAAGTGGCAGCGTCGGAGGTGCCTATGAGGACAATGATAACAACGACGATGATTCTGAGGTCCACCTCCCCGACTACACGATATTTGAACCCGATGAGACCGAGGGCCAGCCTGAAATGGGCCGCGGACAAGGCAGCGAGTCAGATCTTTCGAGGCAGTCCTCGCCGGGCGGTGTCTCACCGGTCTTCCCTCGGAACGATCGTTCGCCCAGTCACTCTCCGGGCCCATCTGCCGGGGGGCAGCAGCAGCCATCAGGCTCGAGTGGCGGGCAAGGCTCTACAGCTCAGGGAAGAAAGAACGGACAGTCCAGTGGCAACAACAAGGGCTCAGCAACGGGAGGCGGACATGGCTCTGCGGCAACGAAGACGAAGAATGCCACTGGGAAGAGAGGAAGACCTGAAGATCACACCGCAGACGATGAAGCCAGGCCACAGAAGCGACAAAGGGAGGACATGGGCAAGGCTGCGGTGCCGACAGTGAGAAAAAAGTTCCCTCGGGCCCAATATCGCCAGATATGCCCTTACCCAAGCCCCCGGGGGTCACAACCTAAGACTTCAGATAAGCGGGCAACAGCCAAGAGGCCAAGCAGCTTGCTTGACGACATAGTAGAGAAGCCTGCGAAGAAGACGAGACTGTTATAAGGGGAACGTGAAGGAGATTTAGACATGCAATAAGATGTTTGATTGGTATGATCTTTAGAGCCGTAGATTTTGTTCGAATTGACATTGCCCTACTGAAGCATTACTGAGCTAGCAAGAATTTGGATCATGCACGCGTACCTTACCACCTGGTGATTCCTCCTCTATCAAGAGTGCTTGCCGGGCTCGTGGACGGGTGTCCTTTGAGGGGCTGGTGACAGGATCAGGAGCGGATTTCTTGAGGCACTAGGGTAATCAGCATAGCTTGGACCAAAATGATTTCTCCCCATGTCCAGTTCGTATGATGGACGTGGTAGAAGCAATCCGCGCACGCGCGCAACTTTTCTTTGTTGTATTGGCGTTGGAAACGCTGGGTATCATAGCATATCTTCGTCTTCGTCATAATCGCCGTCCCCACTGCCTCGTTCCTCCTCTTCCTCACGCCTACTGGCTTCCGCACTGGCGCCAATCTTCCGCACGCCCTCTATGACGCCCAGGAAGAAGCCGCGGCTCTCAGCCAGCTCCATCGCTCCAACTCCCCGTAAACTCATGACACCGCCTACACCGTCGGACAGGTCCTGTGTACTCTTGCGCATCTTGGCAGATCGCACCTCCTGAAGGTCCTTGAGGAGAGACCTTACCTCGGAAGTTGATGGTATATCGTCGGATGCGTGTGCCAGCAGGACCTCGGCGAGCTCGAACCAGTGGTAGGGGAGCGCATTCGGGGGCGCGTCGGCTGTACATGAGGGCAGGAACGGTGGTGACAGGGTTTCGTCGAGGGTCGCGCCTAGTCGACGGGCATTGCCTCTTGCATCGCCGCGCGCAGGAGGTGGCGGGGGAGCAGAGAAGGCATCGGGGTTGAGTGTCGTTTCTTGATGTACGATCTTGGCGAGGGAGGTTGGATGGAGCCACTGAGGTGGAACGATGTTTGCTCGTCGTTGCTTCTTGAGGAGGAGTGCCAGCCAAAGAGGCAAGTCGGCACGTGCCGGGGGTCGCAAGGCTGGAGTTGCACCCTGGGAAAAGCATCGAGGGTTAGCAGAAGGATCTATCCGCGACGCGTCGCGGGGTAAAGTAGAAGGGGCTGCTCCGTTCTTACGCTGAGAAGATCGATGCTTTCTAGCCGCTGACGTGGGACGATTGTGACGAGCTCCATCTCGCACAGAAAAGCCACTTCGGTGGGTACGAGACCCGAGGGGAGAGGCAAAGCCATCGTTGGTTTTCGCAAACAACACCTGTCGCTGCAGCAAGCCCCCGTCGAGGTTTGAAGCTGCAAATCGCCCTACTCGAAAGACGCGTCCAGTTTGGTGGTGCGACGGCGCCGCGGGGTTGCGCACGGAAGCAGCCGGCCCGCTTCGGTGGGATTGTACCTGAAGCTCGGGCTTTCTTGACGACAGGGGCCAGTGCTGATAGCAAAGGAGTACGTACCGCTTGGATCGGGGAACCGGGCAGAGCTCCACCCTGCGCTAGGCCCTGGACCCCACTTATCCCCGGAGGAAGACCCACTTTCAACCCGGGTCCTCCGAGCCGTCTACCAGGGTCATGGAGGAGCCCAGCTGTCCAGGCCCCCAGAGCGCGATGGGATTAAGATAAGGTAATGCGCCCTACGTAAGGCTGGGCGATAAGTGAAAAGGCCTGGATGCATAAGAGCTGAGGTTGTTCCTTGCCTTGACCAGCTGAACCCTCCGGGCTGGCCAATTCCAGGCGGGTCCGGACCGCAGTGGTCTAATATGTGAAGAGGTGGCACTGCAATGTTGGATGAATCTGGACTCTCCACATATGCTCGTTATTTTTACTTTTTGTGCTACCAAATATCCATGACCGCGCCAAGCTAGAAATGGGCGGATACATTATGAGTACAAGGGAAGCAACAAAATTCTCGTTCTCGCCAATCGGCGCTCAGTCCGCTCTGTCACGCCAATAGCGCGTCAATGAGATGGCTATTTGAACAAGTGCGACAGGTCACAGGTATTGACGTCCCTCGGCCTCGTTCTCACCTGAGACATCACCTTAGCTAATCGGCCCTGAGAGATCTGTGTCACCTCATCTACTAGGGAAAGGGGACTTCTGCTCCTCAACGGCTGCAACCCTACAGCTGCAGATCTCTCCTCACTCTTCTTTTCCTTCTCCGCGTCGCCTAACCCAACCACTCGAGCCAAAGGTCCCTGGACTTTGAACTTCTGAACTGCTGTCTCGAGCGGGTTGGGCCGGCCCTGTCGTCCCATCTAGAGTTCATTATTGCATTGCCGTTCCGTCACCTGGAAGCTCCACCGAGCATCCGGAGGATTATGTCAGTGGACTGTCCAATCGTTCAAAGCAACGATCTAGATTCCTGTTCCGTAGCGGCCGCCGCATGGCCGCAGTCGCTCACGCTCTGATCTTCTTCCTCCGTGATACTCGGGACCGGGCCCAGAGAGCAACAGATAGGCCCAATTCGGAACCTCACGATCAAACTGATTTATCTTCGTGTCATGATGACGAATCACTGCATATTCTCCAACTCGCTGCTCAAAGGCCGCTAAGGAAGCACGTTGATTCATACAACAAGAGTCAACAGCGCAATACGAAGGAACAGAAAGAAGGAAGAGAGACACACAAGCCCAAAATTGCAAGGGTACGGAGTACTGCAGTGAGCATCCGCCGCGGCGCCGCCCAACCGCTCTAGCCCTTCCTGCGAGTACAGACCTACGGGAGTGCCCCACTGCCATCCTCGACCCTCGTTCAGATCCCAAAACCCCTCGTAGCGGGATTGGGCCGCCCAGATCCGCCTGTTCGGCCGCAGTCGCCTCCTTTGGAACTTCAGCTGCAGCAGTAAAGGCAGTGGCCCTGACGTGGTCTTCTCCTCTTGGATCTTCCATCTTCTCCCACACTGAAGTGGAGCTTTTTGGTTCTATCCTCACCATCGCCAGAGGTTTAACACCGATCATCTCACGTGGCAACCGACCCTCATCTTGATCAGGGTTCGGAGCCGGGACAGTAACACGGACGAATCCATCGCCACTCTTCCCGCTTGGAAGGGCCCTGCCCGTTCCTGTTCTCGAGTCCGGCCCACACTCGGATATGTTGGCAATTTTGAAGCAATTATCAAGCACTCTTCTTGGTGCCTTGGAACCCCTGACTGCTTTATCGTTTAGCTGAGGCCTACCGTCGCTCGGGAAATCCGGACCGGCGCCAGACGAGCCTTCTAGGGCTTCGGCGCCGCATCCCTTCCCGAAAGAGACTGCTTGTCCGCCCAATTTTCCCCACCGACGCCCAAGAGAGCCTCATCGTCAAACTTTTGTCAGCACGCTGGTGGTTTATCCGAGCAGATAGTCTGCCTGTTCAAGTTTTAGGGATTTTTTCAACTACAACCATGTCGTCCAATTTGTTGAACTTCAACAAACCATGCAACGGATGTCGACGTCGAAAGGTCCGCTGCGATAAGGCCAAGCCATGCCTCAACTGTGTTCGTCATGGCATTTCCTGTGTCTACGACCCCCAGAGGGAGCCCGGCATCCCCAGCCCCGAAAGCCAACAGCAGTTGCAGGAGAGGGTCGACCGACTGGAAAGGGTGATCGAGGAGATGAAGGGCATGTCTGTTCGAGGAGAATCACTCAAGGCGACTAGCAGCTCGTTTCCATCTGCGAGTCCAGCAACAAGTCACTTTGGCGAGTTTTACAACGAACGAGACGAGTCCCTGGCTGGAGATCCTGGGATGCAGGTTTACGACGAGAACGTCTCCTATTATCTTGGTCCCGACTACTGGCTCAACCTCCAAGACGTTGTCTACGAACCAAGATGCCTATTCCGCATCGACTCGGACAAGACGGGCAAAAACCCCGCGAGTCCGTCTTCCTGGCCTATTGGTCGAACACCCGTTCTGGCCGATCTTTCTCATTTACACCTTGAACCCGAAAAGGAAGACATCCTGACCGACCTTTTCCTTGCGCATGTTGAGCCCTACGTTCGGATAGTCCACGAGTCCTACTGGCGGCAGCAAATCACAGATTTCCGAGTGGGCGTCCACAAAATCCCGATAGACGTGGAGGCAGGCATGTTTGCAACCCAAGCCATGACCGTTGCGGCATTGCCGGCAAACCTTATCCAAGAGAGGTTAGGCAAGCCAAAGAAGGATCTCCTTCGACACCTGCAGGAAGCTACCCAACTAGCCCTTGAGAGAGCAGATATTTTGCGGAGTAGGAAGCTTTTGGCTTTCTTTGCTCTGCTCTATCATATTGTTCGTTCGGCCACTTTTCCTTACCATCCACTCACAACTCTGAAGATAGTCTTTACTAATTTTCCTAGCAAGCAAAATTCATCACGGGTGATGGAGAGGTTGCAGTGTCTCTCCTCGGATTGGCTGGTCGATTCGGAACAAGACTCGGACTGCACCGAGATCCGAGTCACTATAGCTATTCGCCATGGATAGCAAATATGAGACGCCGAGTCTGGACTCACTTCGAAATCATGGACAACCCGGTGTACAATTTGGAGGGTGCAGACTCTGGCCTGCCATCAATATCCGACGTCCAACCCGCGAAGAATGCAAACGACAGCCAGTGGATGCCGAATCGATTTGCAAAACCAGGCTCTACCCCTCCAGATCAAGATGGAATCACAGACATGTCTTTTGTCTTGATACGACAGCATCTCTTCAGGACGATGCAATCAATAACGCGAAGGAGGAACGACACGAGCCCGGAAGAGCTGAACAGGATAATTGACCAGACTGAGAGCTTTATCAAGGCCAAGTTTATATCCCACGTTGACGGTAGCTCTGCAAGTCATGCAATAATTGTCTCATACTTCAGAACAAGTATGAGAAGCATGCGACTTCTAGTTGAGACCGTTGTGGCTCGACATACGGGTGCTGGTCAAGATGCTGAATTCCGATCGGGGTAAGTTGGAACGTAAAGCCAAGAGGCTTTGACACTTACTAACATTGACAATCTCTAGATTCTATCAAGAGTGTGTAGAAATTCTCGAGGAAGCAGAGCGTGGTGAAGCAGTGGCTCTCCAAAGCCATTGTGGCTGGATCTACAGATGGCCGACGACACCGTTTACGATTTCAAACATTCTCATCAGCCTCGCTCAACAACCAAAACACCCGGTTACGGACCGAGCGTGGCGGCAAATGAACATCGTGTTCCGGAGACACAATAACGAGGACATTAGCATGCGCAACTTTGCTGCTTGGAGGGTTATCGAGGCTCTATGCGACCAGGCTATGCTTTACCACAAGCAGAGATCACACGAAGGAGCGTGGTATGCCCAGAGGCTAGACCAAGTCCAGGCTTTGAATACCGCGCAGGGAAAGGCCTCCCTCTCACTGGAGAATGCGACAGTCGACGACATCCTAGGCGACGTGCAAATGTTTGGGCAAGATGCTTCAGTCTTGGGTGGTCACGGTTATTTTGCAGCTCAGCAGGCACTTGAGCCGTTGGGCTACCCTCCTTGGAATCAGCCACCAACGGGACAATCTCACGGCCAAAGTCAACCGCATCCGCACTCGCATCCTCATCCGCATCAACCACCGTCTGATGATGGCGAAGACATCTGAATTCTGGGTGACGCAATCCGTGGGAACAATGAAACTTCTAGAACGGCGTAAAACAAGGATGGGACAAAATTCAATGATCATTGAATGATTCAACTCATGCGACTCTATAGAGGAAAAAGACTACTCCCTAACACCTTGAAGCCGTTCGATCCCATTCTAGAAGACCAAGACCGTTCGATCCTCGGAAACGGCACGGAAATGTGGATGAGGCCAAGCCATGATTCCAAGAATTCATAACTCAATGCTTGCTTGGTCTGTGGGTCCTTGTGCGTCCGAAAGGCCAACCGTCTGGGAACATGAGTTTAGCCAAAGTCTAATTTATGGAGAAGAAAACGCTCTTTGGGATTGGAGAAAATGGAGACTCTTCAACTCACATTGACTAGGAGCATGGACGTCAATGTCCAACTCGTCAGCCCAAGTCCATACCAGGTTAGGGTCTTTGAGGAACGCCCGGCCCACGAGGACGGCGTCTGCCTGGCCATCCGCCAAGACCTCCGTGGCGTCCTTCCCCGTCGCGATGCCGCCGACGGACCCTACCAGGGTACCGGTGCCCTCAACGGCTTTCCGGATAGCTTCCGCTATGTACGCCTGGTACTTGGGTCCGGGCACGACCTTCATCCTCGCATCTTGCCCGCCGGCGGAAACATCGAGAAAATCTGCCCCCTTGTCCGCGA